TGGTGAAGGTGAAGGGATGGTGGTGGAGAGGGTGAGGGAAGAGGTAGTCATAGAGATGCTGAGGGAGGGAGAGGAACTATTTAGTCTTTTAGGCCTCAGGTTTCCTTTTCTATTTATGGGTAAAACGACAATAGAAGTATCGTAACTTTTGCATCACACTCACTTTAGTGCCAAAACTTATCGAATGACCACTTCAATGCCACTTTAGTAAAAAAAAACAATTACTTAAGTGCCAACTCCGATATTGGATACCAAAATGTCGACGTAGCAATATTTTAATTTTTTTTTCGACCGACATGGCTCGCAAAAACTCTGGGTCAGCATAAATAGCCCCAAATGACGTTGTTTAACAAGTTTGCCCCAAATTTAAACCCTAATTCAGACAAATCAAACCATTTCCCCTCTTTTTTAAGCCTTAATTAGGACTGTTACCAAGACTTGGTGAAGCCAAGCATGAATCAACCTTTTGAGGAAGTGCTTTACGTATCGTTTACACAATCGGCTTGGTGAAACTAAACCACATTGTCCAATTGCTGTGCCGTGCGACCAACTATGCATTTGAATTCCAAAATTCTCAAACGACATCGTCTTAGTTTGTCTCGTGTCGCTCCCACGTGATACCTCCGACTCACAAAATGCCTTCTTGTGCTTTAAAGACGACTTAATTACAAGTTACTCTTATCATCTGGCCGTATTTGGGATAGAATCCGGAACAAAATCATACATTGAGTGGATGGAGAATCGGATTGCCTTCCTTTTACCCAACCTAAGTTTCAGATTTTTCTTTTCCTCCGCAGCATCCTAGCAATAATTCTAACATTTACACACATGTTTTTCCTTACTCAATATTTTTTTTTCCTAAATTTTTTTGCCAGTCTTCTGCTTTTTTAACTTAACGGACATATCAATCACCACAAAGACATATCACTTTAAGCTTCACCAAAGTCCCACAAATTTTTTCACGGTAAGGGTGACCTGACACTAATCCTCTGCTCCTGTCCTCTTATTTTCTAGTACCCTGCGTCTGGTCCGCATGAGTACCATGGAATTGCTCTCCGATATCCTTCCGTCCAGTGTTATGGTCAAAATCCTTGCTTGCTTACCAGCCCGGTCTCTCGTCCGGTTCCGGTGCGTCTCCAAGTCGTGGCATTCGCTCTTGTCCGACCCGTACTTCGTGACGATGTGGATGAATTGCAGTGGGACTTCCCTCTTGGTGGTCCCATTGGAATGGAAAAATCGCGACCAGTGCTCTTTAGTGTTTGAAAACGTGTCCATCGGTAAGAAGAATATGAAGCTGCCATTTGGGAAAAGATGGTTTTCGTTATCTGTGGTCGGTTCGTCCGACGATGGTGCTCTAATTTGCTTGACTGGGCTTTCATATGAACGCCATCACGAGAGCAAGCAAGCCGTTATTCTGTGGAGGCCATTCACGGGAGAATTCAAGGCCCTCGGCAACGAGGGTGGCGTCCATTGCCGCCGTTGGCCCGTTTGCACCGAATCTCTAGTTCAGGGCAACAATTTGGCATGCTGCCATCAGTATCTTGTCCATGGTTTCGGGTACGAGCCGAATGCCCTGGACTACAAGGTCGTGAGGATTACTTATTCGGACGGCGGTGTGAGACAAGCTTACTCTCTGGTAAGGCCATGGCACGTCGAGGTTTATAGCCTAGGCAGGGACACATGGAAGAGCCTGGGCAGGCCCAATTTCACTTGGATGGTCCGTGGCAATTCGCGGGCATTTGTTAATGGGTCCTTACATTGGCTTGCGGCGCCTGCGACGGAGGCGCCTTACGACTCAATCGTGGCCTTCAACATGAAGGAGGAATCATTCGGAGAAGTCATCGAGCTGCCCCAATTGGCAAATCTCTGGCATTTCTCTTTGAAACCAAGAGGCAAAGTGACCCTCTCGGTATCACGCGGTTCGCTGGCTTTGATTGCCTTTGGCCAATGGAACCAAGAGGAATGTGGCATTTGGGTGATGAAGGAGTACGGCGAGGCCAAGTCGTGGATCATGCAGCATCACATCGTGCTACCGAACGGGTCGGCGGTCCGGGCGGCGCTGGGACTTACCGGGCATGGCAAGATTTTGCTTCGCATGGTTGATGAGAAGTTGGCGTGCTGTGATGTGGAGGATATGCACATCAGTGAGGTTGGAATCCAGGGAGACATCCGTGAGTCATCTTTTGATGTCATTGATTTGGGAGGAGCAGATCCTACTCTCGGGAGCCAAGCGAGTCGAGGTTCACCGTTGACCATACTCAACCTCCAATAAAGAATTAGGTTTCATACATTCAGAGAAAATCTGCATATGCTTCTTCCAAAATAGATAATCATCTATGCTTTTTTGTAGTTTTGATGTTGTGCGCATTTTAATTATATTCCCTAACATACTTATCGTCCAAGTTGAGCACCTATCTCCGAAATATTAGTATAAGAATTATTACAATTAATATATATATATATTCTGATATGTTATTTAGAAATAGTTGCCGTTGTAAAACTAAAAATTCTCCTTTATAGATGTTATATATCTATATTTGTAAAATTGATAATCTATTTCCAAAGGATGGTCAAATTTCTCGCGACATTCATGAGGGTATTTATATTATAAGAATATCCATAGGTAACTTAGTATCATTTCTCGATATTTTTGTGAAAATACTTAGGCTCCGTTAGTCTTGCGGAAAATATATATTTCAGTAAGTCATTTTTTAGGAAAATGACCACAGTTTCCGGTATTTAGTTGATGCCCGAAATGAAAAGAAAGAAAAATATTTTTTTTCTATAAACAGATTTTATTGCCTGATTGAGAGCTCATCCCTATGTATAGAAAATGTACATATATAATTGAAGGATTAATTTTTATTTTTTAGTGAATGCTTTTTGTGTCGAAAGCAGCTCCACCTCCACGCCCACCCTCTCTGCTGTACCCAAAGGCTTCTGCGTCGAACATGATCCGAACAACCACCATCCTCATCGACCTGAAAAATACCATAAATCCTCAAACACTAAAACCCTACTTTCACTCGCCCCTGCCTACCACCACCACCGTGATAATGGCCAGATCTTCCCTTGCGGTGGTGCCTCACCACCAGCCCAACCCCTCGTCGTCACCCTCAACTACATCGAAGACGACTCCCTCGAGCAGTCCTCCCTCGCCGGCATCACCTCCGTCGAGCAAGTTCCCCTTTGCCACCCTGCCTCCTCTGACTGCAACATTGACTCCGCCTCCGCCATACTCCTCCTCCACTCCCTCACCTTCCTCCGATCCCCCGCGCCACCCAGCGTTGTCGACTCCACCCTCGCTGTCGAGCCGGGGGCTTCACCTCGTTGTGGACGCCTCTCGAGCTGAGGAGATCGTTGAAGAGAAGCACAAGGCAACAAGGAGGAGGAGGAGCTTTGGCGACGGAGAGAGATGAGCGAGAAAGCAGGAAGGAGGCGTGCAACGAGAGGAATAGAGCAAGTGCTTTGTCTCATAAGGAAGGGAAAAGGGAAATCATTTTCCCCTATTTTAAAGGACTTTTTCCTGGTTGACAGAAATTGTTTTCCTTGATCCATTCATTTTTCTTGGACCAAACAGCGGAAATTTCAAAAAATTCGTGAGATAAAATATACTCAAATGGAACTTTTTAATATTTATTAAGACCAAAAAGGTAAAAAGGTAAAAAATAAAAAGAAAGAAAGAAAGATAGCATATGTTTTTTTTCCTATTGATTTAGTGAATGGATTGAAATGAAAAGATAGTTTAAAATCAGCACAATAGTGTAATTATGAAAACTTGTGAAACGTATCGAATGACCGATTTGACTTTGTTATGAAAAATCGAGGAATTAAATTGAATCATTTAAAAATTTAGGGACTCAATTACACATTTCACAATAGTTTAGGCATTTGTGGTGACTTTCTCACCTATTTGATGAAACAGAAGGACTATATTGAAAATTTCATAATAGTTCAAGGATCAAATTGAACAAATTAAAAATCTAAGTTGATAATACACATTAAGTTAAAGTTTAAATAATATTATTTTCATTTTCCCATCGTAATTTTAGAAAGAAAAAAAATGCCAAAAGCTTATAAAAATAGCATTTCTTTTTGTTGATTTAAGAAATGGTTTCAAAATGAAAAGATATTCTAAAACCTAGGCAATAGTGTAATTATGAAAACTTGTGAATAGTTTTAGTGGAATGATTTCAAATTAGATCGGATAAATTGAAAGTTTAAGGATTATATTGCAGCTTTCGCATTAGTTTAAGGACTAGATTGTAGATTTCGTAATAATATAGCGACTAGATTGCACATTGTACAATAGTTTAGGGACTTAAAACTTAGAACTAAGAACTGATCCCTAAAAGGTTTAAGGACACTAGATAAAATATTGAATATTAAATATTGAACCGCGTTTTCCTTTAATCATTTAGCTTGAAACCAAGAACTGGGCCTAATCTCTTAAAAAAAACCCCAACTTTAGATCCAGTTACAATCATGTTCCGAATTTTTTTTTTATATTTACAAAAACCTAACTTTAGGTCCAATCTAAATCTGCCCCGAAATGTTTTTTTTGTCTATAAAAAACCTCAACTTTAGGTGTAATCGCAAATCTACCACGAACTTTTTTGTTTTAAAAAAATCACTAATTTTAACTTAGGTTCCAAATTTGCCCATGTTAGAACTTCGTCCAAAAATTGCCGTTAGTCGTCCCTAAATTCCCTAATTTTCATATCAAATAATGGTTATGTTTTAGAGATAATTTTCCACGTCACCTTACTAACGTGGATTTATAACCGATATGAAAATGCCACGTTAAACAACTAACGGCGATTCTTGGACAGAGGGTTAAAAAAATGTCCAGGACAAATTTCGGAAAGGAGTTAGAGTTTGTGATTTTTTTTAGACAATAACAATCCGAGGCAAATTTGAGATCAAACCTAAAGTCTGAGGTCTTTTTCAGACCAAAAAAAAAAGTTTGGGGGCAGATTTGAGAGTAGAAAATGGCTACTTCGCTCAAAAGCAAGCGCTTGCAATTTTGGGCAAGCTCAAGCCCAACAAAGTCTCATGCCCAAACTCGCCCCAACGTTGATCACAAATCTCTTTAGTTCCACTACTTTTGAGAGAATTGTCAAATTAGCGACCGTCAAAATTGCAACTTGTCGTGCCCCGAAAGATTTCTCGTTTCATATGAAGAACCAGGATCGAGAAGGGTTGCCTCTTCCTTGCTCGAACAGAGTCGTCTCCCTGTGATGGTGATTTTCTAATTCTATTGTCGCCAAGTTTCTGAAATTCGCAAGTCTGGGACGAGATTGTATGCACTGCCATTCCACAACTAGATGTGATCGTGGGGAAGATGAGATGTTTGCACTGCGTGGGCACAGCCACCACCTGTTCGATCGTTTGTCTGAGCGAAGTAATAGTATGGATGGTGGGAAAGATGGAATGTCTTTAGTGCGTGGCCGCAGCCACCGCCTGTTCGATCGTTTGCCTGAGTGAAGTAATAGTATGGATGAACCCACCACCGATTGATTCTCTGTTTCGAATGGGGTTTCTTGAAGATTAAATTGAGAAGCCAGCTGGTGAAGAATCCGAGGGTCGGTAGGAGTTGCTAGAGCTAGCTACTAATGGCTCGGAAACACCTGTGGAACGGCCTCTACTGGGGAAAGCATCTTGACGCCCAAAGAAATGGATTCCTGCGCTGGAATGTGATGTTTTATCATAGTTTTGGTGAAGCCCGTGGGGTGACTTTGCCTGCTGGATGGTATGAGAAGGCCTTTCGCAAAATGACAAAGTTGAGCGACTGCTTGAAGGACGTGGATTTGGTCGACGGACGGCTCGTGAATCTTAAAGATGGTTCGATTGTCGTTGATGATCTTATGGAGCAGAAAGTGCATACTTTCAAATCTCTTGCTAGAGCTTTTATTGGGTCTCCATCGATCCAGCAGACGCTGAGGAGAAGTGTTCCAGCATCTTCAGTGGATGCAAAGTCTGCAGCCCATGTTTGTTTCAGTAAAGTGAGTGAAAGAGAGCCCATGATCATAAATTCCCTGACTAAGATAAGCAACATCCTTAACATTTCTGCTCAGCAAAGGAAATCAGTGCGTGTCACAGTATGCCCCCAGGTGACCCAGCACCAGATATGGACCGCTACGCTCGAGGAGATACTAAATGGCTTGAAATATGAGTTGGACATTTTGAATGGCCAATGCCCAAGACATGCCACTAAGATGGGTCGGCAGATCGTTTCTGTTTGCCTAAAGTTCTTAGAAGAAACTTCAAGTTCATTCAATCCCGACTCCTCTTCATGGATGCGTGTTTCACCAGCTGCAAAGGCTGACTACTCTGCCTCAAGAAAGTGGGAAGATGCCTTTGAGATGTTCGATGACCTCATTAGATGTTTAAAATGTGAGGAAGAATTGCTTTTACATTTAAAGAAGCTTGAGGCAATGAAGGAAGGGCTGTCTCAAATCAGGGATGTGGTAGTTGACAGATGTATTGGGTATAAAGATGTTCGACACCAGGAAAGCCTAGTGCAAAAGAAACTTACAAAGACACTCGGATACTCATCCCCATGCTTGTTTACTCTTCTTTTGTATTATCTCTATGGATATGTCAGAGACTTGGAGGTAGACCTTTCTGGTGGGTTTTGGGGACACAGTGAAGGTGGCCAATGTTGTTTGCACTTGGGACGGATTTTGACATCAGATGAGGAAAATATTGTCTGGAACGGGCTAAAACACTTACATAAAGCTCTCGGACTTTTCAAGTTTGTGTGGGAAACAGCAGGAATGGAAGGAGTCTTGGAAGTGCAAGGCCATTTATGGTGCGTGCAAGCTGAGGATAGGACGCTAACATATAAAGGAAATCTGTATTTCGTACACGGAATCACGTTGTGATTGGTTGGTCTTACCATTTCAGTGTTTGAACTCATTGTATTTTTAGGCCATCTATGCTCTTCTATATATATTACAAGAGCTGACAATTTCTCTGGGTGAGTGGGATGCTTTCTGTTGCTTTGGGGCAGAAATGGCAACTACATGGAGTGGGACGATCAGTAACTTCATATCAACCACATGGAGAGTAACATCAAGGAGTATGTATACGATACTTAGATTGCATATTTCTGGTAGAATTTTATTTGAAAGCTCTGTACGCCCAGCATATGTGCAAATGGATCAGATTCTTTCTATGGACGCGCTACAGTTTGAGGTGGACAGCACAATCTGGCCGAATCTGTTATATAACTTGGAGTACTGTTTTTTGAATGAAATGGTCAAGCAACTGACAACAGCCTATTTGTTGGCACACTTGTCAAGCACCGATAAGCAAAAAATCGAATGGATGATGACAATACTAATCCTAATACGAACGGCAGTACTATACAAAATCTAATGAGTGAACACGTCGGTAGAGCCTGGATTGAAGACGTGTATAGTTTCAGTTCTTGTTATGGGTTGTGGAGTGATGTTGACACCTAAATTTTGGCTATTCCATTTAGTCGTTCATCGCATAAGAAAATTAGGAATCGATTCCGATCCCTACACAAATATGCCGTTTATATTTAAGATCCATATTGCATCTCTTTGCATTCTGGGACTAACACATGCAAGCCATATCTATGATCTTCCTATGTCACTCCTATGGACTAGCGCAAGCGGGATTTTTCTTCAGCATTGGCGCCAACACACCGTGGACTAGCGCATGCATAATCTCTCTCTTGATTGGTGCCGGTTGAGATTGATCAGAGCATGGAAATAATCGTGTTAAAATTGACACGCGAGTAAGAGAACAATCGAGAAGGTTCGAAGTGTGAGTGGATAAGCGAGCGAAGTCAAAAAGAAAACGCCATTCGGAGATTTGGCAAATTTCAGTGATAACATCTGCTTGAGGGAGTCTCAACGTCCAGCAGATACACCTCGCCCTGATTGCTCTCCGCTGTGTCCAGCCGCTTCTGCAGCATCCCTAAGTGTATCGGTGAATCTCTACCCCCACGACGTTCCAGTCCGGGCAGTTTGGTTAGCCTCCAGCAATCGCACAGTAGCAGTTCTGGTCCTCGGTCCTGTACCGGTGGCATCTCAGCCAAGCAGGCAGGCTACCGGTGACTCTCCAGCAGGCTGCCCAATTCAACTTCCTGTGGTGCTTCCATGCCCAGTTCTCTCCGGTGTTTCTTGGGCCTTCTGTCACTTGACCAGCCGCCACACATTGCCCTGCTGCATGACCACTGCTGTTTGTCCACCCAGTTGATGCTCAGCCCGCTGTCACTTCAGTCCCGCTCTCTGCCTTGCCTCAAACCTTTGATTGCAGGTTTCTCAGGCGATCACCAGTCCACTTTGGCGCCACTTGCACCTCTGCCTCAGCAACCTCCGGCAGATTCTCAGCCGCAACTTACTTCAGATCAGCCTTCACTGCTGTGCCTGGAAATCCCTGCAAACCCCTTGCTGCCGCTCATGGAAGTTCCCTAGCTGCAGCACAGCAACTTTCGATGCCTTCACCAGCCCTTTTGCCGTCTCACTGGTCCTTGCAAGTCTCGCCACCCTTCCTTGACGTGCTCTAGATTACTTAATATCCTAGTAAGTCAAGGTTTGCGCGTGTGATATTTCAGTATTTACTCTATAGTTCTGATTACATGTCACTTAGCAGAAAACCTTAAGATTGTGTTTGGTTGTTCGGATACGAATTGGGGTAGGATAGGATAAGGTGGGATTAAATCCTCCAGATTGTCCTTCGATTGTGAAAAATCCCATTATATGTTTGGTAAATGTCCGCATATAACATGGCTGTCAGGATGTGCTATCCACCACACCAGTGACGTCCTACGGAAGACGATGATGCACCCTTGAAAACTCTTGAAACTGAAGATATCTTCCTTGTCAAAATTTCCTTTTCCCTGCTCTGCTGGTCTTCTTGAATCAATGGACTTGGTGAGGAGCCTGCTGCCCGAGTTCTTTGAAATGTTGGACTTGGGAAATCATCTCGTCGATCAAATTGCCTTTTGGGAATGTGTTACCAGCACCTTCTTTCTTGTCCTTCTTTTTGGTTAGAGCTGGGCTGTTAATAGCTTCATGCTCACATGATTTGCTTATTGTTGGTTGCTCGGGGAGACCTTTTTCTCAACAAATCTATTCTGGGTTGATGTTGACAGACAAAGTGAAGTCATGCAAGCTTCGTCTTTTGTTATCATGTGGAGATGATCTTTCCTCTGTTGGTGAATTTTCATTTTTGTTAGTTGAGTGCTAATTCTCATCCTGATTGTCCTTCGAAGAAAATGAAAGCTTGCATGGATCAATTCTGGCCTATTTTCTCTCGGTTTTCTTTTTGCTGAGGAACTATCTTTAGCGGAGGTCGTTGCCAAACACCGGATAAGATAATTTGTTATCATATCCAGACTTAAATCCGAACCACCAAGCACAGCCTAAGTTGTTTTATTATCCTATTGCATTAGTTAAGACAAATTAGGGCATCAGAATATTGTCTCATGTGTGATTCATGATATTGTTGATTATACGTGATGGGTTAAATAAATTTTGGTTGCTTGAAATAATATTTCTTCGAATTACATTAATGAATCTTGTGAATGACATATTGTTGAGAAAACCTTCTATTATATTTTAAAGATAACCGTTTATCTTGAATATGATAAATGCACCGAAGTGGTTTGTGTCAGGAACTACTCATGAAAAGAATTTCATATCAATCTTGATTATATTCAGACTCTATCTACTGCTGATTGAATATCGTGGGTGAAGGTTAAGACAATTACTTCATGGATATCATCAATATTATTACATGGATATCAGCCCTGGCGATCACTCCCCGCCCTCATCTGATCGAGTCGTTACAGGCCCACCAGCTTCCGCCTAATTCGTTTCCAAACCACACACCTTCCCAAGGTGGTCTCGCTTTGGCATCCCTGGATTGACTCATCGAAGGTAACATCCATTTTGGCCCGTCTCATACCAGGCTTCACAGTTTTACTCTTTCTCATCGTGATATGCCGATGGACACTACATCAAAGCTTATACGCGAATATCACCATTGCATTTGATTTTTTTAGATTGTATGCTAAAGTCGAATATCATCATATTACAAAATCTACTTACGGCTATATATATTTAGACATAAACTCCATTACTTATATCGTCACAGCTAGTGATTTAGCTCGGATTTCCTATTGTTGACACCTGAAATTAATTAGAGATTTCATCGTGAGGATATATGAATAAAATAACAAGAAATGACATCACCTGTACTGAAATGGCAGCAGGCCGATACGGACAGTCGTAAGCGGGAAATTTGAAATTCAGATGGAGGGGGATTAAGAATGTTGAGAGAGTTTTCATCGAAGATGTCGACAAAGAGAAGAACGAATGTCAAACCATAAAGGCCTTTGTTCCAGAAAAAGACAGATGTCCAAGTGCTCAAAATGCTTCTCATCGATGAAATCGATGAAAAGGGTGATGGATGTCAAGGCAGAAAAGCTCTATGAAGGTCCTTATTTCTGTTGAACAGGTTTCAGACGGAGAAAAGCTATGAAAGATTCGATGAAAGTCTTTGATCCGGAAAAGACAGATGTCCAAGTGCTAAAGGTGCTTTTCATCGATTTCATCGATGAAAAGGATATTGGACGTCAAGTCAGAAAAGCTCAACGAAGGTCCTTATTTCCAGGAGACAGGTGTCAAACGGAGGAAAAGATCGATGACGGTTATCATCCCAAGAGACAGGTGTCAAATGGAGGAAAAGATCGATGACGGTTATCATCCCAAGAGACAGGTGTCAAACGGAGGAAAGGCTCGACGGTTATCATCTCGAGAGACAGGTGTCAAGTGGAGAAAAGGTTCGATGACGGTTATCATCTCGAGAAATAGGTGTCGAATGGAGGAAAGGCTCGATGACGGTTATCATCTCGAGGGATAGGTGTCAGACAGAAAACCAATGGGCTTGATGACGGTTGTCGTTTCAGAAACTAAATGGGCTCAAAAGCAGTTCTCACTTCGTACGAAAGATAAGATCGATAACGGTTGATAAACAGGTGTCATCACATGAACGTTAAAGATGAAATCAACGGTAGAGATTGGATACAACACCAAGAACGATTACCAAGTCTGCGCTATAAATAGCATCCGATTACCAACAGAAAACCCCCCGGCACACATGAACAAAACAAATGTTGTCTTTTATCTTTATTTTCAAGTTTCGCACTTTCAGCTTCCATAGTTATAGTCTTTACTCTCCAGTTTCGTACTTTCAGTTTCCTTAGCTATAGTTGCTCAGGTCTTTGTAACTTCGGACGCCACCAGCAATTGGATGGATTCGTCTAGATTTTCTATATAAATCAAGTTCCTTATTCACGCCTGGATTGCTCCTGTCCGGAATTAAATCTAGAACTCAGTCTCCTTTCATTAAGAGCCGAAGAACGACTTTCGGTGAATTATATTTCGTCGTGAGGACATTTCCGACGAAACATAATTTTGGCACGCCCGGTGGGACTTTTTAGATCAATTGGAGGAGTAACAATGGCACGAACGAGAAGTCAGAGCCAATTAGACCAGAATAATAATGTTCTAGGGAGCAGTGTACCCCCGAATCCTGCTGTAGAACGAGCGACACGCATAGAATCATCAAACGGGCAAATAATTACAGAGCAAGGTCAGGTAGGGGAGATAGACATTCCCAGATACCTTACTGAAGAGCAAAGAAGGCAATTGGAACCAAATCCAGTTACACTTGCTACTATGAGAAGAATCATGGAAGAACAACATAATGATTTGGCTAATCTGGTTACTAGATGCGTGGCTGACACTGTTAGGCTATTGTTTATCAACACGGTTCAAGAGATCACTGGAAGGCCGAATTTGTCGATGAATTCTTCTCAACCACAGACTGTCCCAGTTGTACCTCCGGGTGCAGTTGGAGGTCTTGGACAACCCATAGTTACGAACTCTGGCAGTGCAACAGCAGGGCAAATTATGCCTCTTGCGCCAGTAAGAATTCTTCAGAGAGGGGAAAATGCATTGGCAAATCAAACACACGCCCACTTGTCAACAATTGAAGGTAATGCAGTTAATCCAATACATCGAAACGAGAATATCAATACGAGTCAACTAGCAGCCAATGGAGCAAACTCGTCTGGTTCAGTTCAGACAAATGTGACTACTGCAAATTTGGTTCCTCAGAATACTGCTTCGTATCAATTGCACGACAACGCGGTATCTGGTGGTTTTGCGGCTCAACCAAGCATTCCTCAGATGTTGTTCAGGCCAAATGTAAATACAGATAGTCCGGGGAGGAATGTAACACCACCACAG